TGTCAAAAATAGGGGTACAATTTCATAGAGATCCATACACTTTTACTCAAATTATTGTCTGGTCACTGGAAAATATATATAACTTTTCCTTTTAAGGTATGGTACCTTTCGGTACAATTTTAAAGAGATCAACACACTTATACTTAAGTTATTGCCTGAACAATAAAAATGTTTGTTTTTTGCCCAAAAGATTTGCGATCGTTTAACAACTTTGTTTTATGCATAGATGTACTGTGAACTTTCGATGATGAAATATCACTTTTAAAAGAGAAATAACTACTTAAGGGTGTTCGCTTCTCTGTTTCAAAAATAATCTCCTAATGGCACAGTGAAATATCATTGATTTGAATTTTTGAGAATCCTCGATTTATAGAAATGATTTAATTATTTTCAAACAGGTATTGGGTACAGGGATTAAGCGTTTATTTTATTCCTCCAGGTAAAACGTGAACCTGACAGAACACTTTGCAAAGTGTAAATTAAAACTATGGATATAAATACAATTCTAACACTTTTGCCTGTAAAATACATGCGTTGAAATGTAATGCACCACTAAAACTATATGTTTGTACGATATTGTTTTCTTGTTTTCTTGATTTCTGTACTGGTATTTGTTAGCAAATAATCGAAATTTGTATAAAGTATATTAAACAAAGAACACCATCCGTGGTAGTAATAATGTATCGCGCCGAACGAATTTCCACGGCATATATGACAGATATTTTATCAGGACATTATAAATCGACAATTTTCGTCAATTAAATTAGACAGTCATTGTAAATCAATGGTTTTTTATTGTGCAATAAAATTTGTCCTATGTCCTCTTCTCTAGTTGGTACCAGAAATTCCCCTTTCATACTGGATCCTAATCTTAATGACCATTACCTGGACCATACTTAAAAGCCTGAACTAGTAATTTGCCAGTCTGTTATTATCTAAACCCATTCTCGATCTGTACATAACCAGTCCATAACCTGTTTTAAATGTCTTGACCATATTCGACCACATATTGACTTGTACTCGACCAGTTTATTTTCATTTTATTTATATGGATTTTGTATAGTCTGTTACAAAAAAAATATATGATTTCAAATTTAAGAATATATGATTATTTTTAATGTAAATCAATCACAAAGCCGTGTTTTACCAACGGCTACTACTTAACCTACCAAAAGTACCAGATGATAGCATGTTTTTTCCTTGGTTTATTTTTAATTCATTGATTTAAAGCAAATAAGTGTATTAGCAGTTTAACTATTAACTAACACTATGCAACGTTTTGAGCAACCAATCCTAGCATCCAAGTAAACATTAGAACTTTTTTTAGACAGGCGAACCATAAATGGCTGCTGTTTCTATGGCTATGCCGAATGTCCGACTTTTTTTACGCTCTTAACGCATAGAAATATCTTTAATGACCTTATACATAACTAAGATAACTGGTACAGCGTACTCGAAACATAAAAGATAATGCAAAAGTTTTATTCGATTGAATTGTATTATAAAGAAGTTATCAAATGTTTTTCAACATTTAGACAGGTCATGCAGGACAGAGATTTATTTTCAACATATTGTTTCAGTTGGTTCTTGATTTAATTTTTTTTTTTGGGGGGTGGGGGTAAAAGTTTTTTGTGCACTAATGTTTTCTGTGTTATCCGTCTTTTCCGTTTTCATCTCTTTTTTTCTTTTTTTTATTTTTGTATGTCTAATCCTTTCTTTTTCGTTTTTGGTCAAGTCTTGAAAGAAAGTAATAAGAATAATACACTCCGTCTTCTGATCGATGTCGTTAACATATTGATACGATGTTTAGTTAAAGCCAAATATTTATTTTTATTTTATTTTAAGTTATATATTGATAAATGAACTAAGTCTTCTGTGGTTAACATTTACACATAGTCTACAATTGAATTTTGTTTGTACTGGGGAACTTCTAAACTCAATATTTGTATTAATTATTCAGTCAAGACTAAAAAATCGATTTCCATATATTACATTTTTTACATGTTTTAATGAAACTTATGCATCTTAATATACCTTATGTCTAATATACGTCAGTTCCCACAATAACAAATGGAAAATGGGTCACATAAATACAAACCAGTGCACGTGATGGGTCAAGCTGACTTTTATATTATGTTATCATACTAGAAAATGAGACTCATAATTATATGAAATTATCCGTTATATAACAAGTAACTACGTTATGCTGAAATTGGTAACAACTGTCAAACGTTTGGTAAATAAGACTGCAAATCAAATGTTTATGTTTAAGACTACTGAATATCTCGAAATGATGAGAACTGCACATGTACATAGTTATTTAAGTTTAAATCCTTTCTTTGATTTCATTTGTTGAGATTATTTCATTTCATTTGTCAAACCTTTTTTTTATAATTTGCATTACACTTTCAAACGAGTAATATGTAAATCAGTCATGATTTTGATTCAGTTATGATTTTCATGTTTAAAATTCGTTGCAATTCTTCTTGTTTTCTACGTTGATACGTATTGCTCGTGCATGTTTACACTATACGGACTTCATATACAGGAGTGTGCTCCTTACGCAGAAACTGCTCCAACAAAGTTATGAGGAGGAAAGATTAAAATGACACTCTGTACATTTTATGAACACCATTACGAATTGGTTGGTCCATACTATGTGTCTGTGTTTAAACTTACTTAGGTCATTTTTACCACGTCTTAGATTATGGTTTACCATTTACGTCGTCTGATATTTTAATTACCGAACGTTACCTATTCCCGAATATAAATTTTCTAAGTGTGAATTCGCATTACTATAAGACGTGTCTCGGTATTTGTTTATCCAGCGTTCATGTATTTAGTTATGATGTTATACTTGAAATTCTGATCGGATATTGTTTTGTGTCTTATCGTTTGTAGTTGTAATTCTTTTTTTTTATTTTCTATTCGTATGTAAAAAATAAAGATAATTAATCACCCAGGTCATTTGTATGATTTTTGTTTAAAGCAACCATGTGATCAGGATTTATTTGTTTTACACAGTTTGATTTGGAAGAAAGGCCGACATAGTTAGATAGTGCAGATAGTTGCACAATTACTAACACAATTATATATTAATATTCTTGTAATTGTTATAAAATACATCAAATAACATAATTACAAACTTATTCTCGCTTTATATCCAATTTTTAGAAATTTACCTGTGACGTCACTTTTTGTGTGACACACAGTTCGTAATTCTAGAATGATGTTTTTGTGTACTGTCCTAAATTAATTTTAGGTATTCGTTGTTATTCTGTGGTTAACATGTCAAAATATACTATTATATCAATTGTTTATGTATTTCTCTGTCTGAGTGTTCTTGCACTTATTTGTACTGTATTACTGTAACGGAATGTTGACATTTTAGCTGTATATTTAACAATGCCATAAAGCGCGAGGTTTGGCTAGCCACAAAACCAGGTTAAATCCACCATTTTCTTCTTAAAATGTCCAATACCAAGTCAGGAATATGGCAGTTGTTATCTAATAATTCGTTTCTGTGTATGTTACATTGTCGTTTGTTTTATATTGCACTTCAGTCTTTCTGTTGTTTCGTTGTTTTTTCCTCTTATAGTTTATGTGTTTCCCTTGGTTGTAGTTTGTAACCCAGATTTGATTTCTCTCAATCGATTTATGACTTTTGAACTGTGGTATACTACTGTTGCCTTTATTTATTTCTAACGGTATGGACCGATGCTCATTGACAAATGAATAAATAATTTATCAATGATATAAAGATATTTGTTTTCATGCATGCAATAAATTGATAATGACTTCTTTTGCATTTTTTTGTGATACACAAAATGTGTTTTGTTTAATTGTTGCTTTTGAGATGACAAAACAGCGCAAACACAAATTCACAAGAATGTAGACAAATCATACTTTTCATACCGTCTTTAACAACAACCTGCATAAATGCTGCAAAATATACTATAAAGGGAATCGGGATGACTAAATATGAAATATTTCGAAAGAAAAAAGCTCTTTCCTGAATTTTAATGAAGTAGAAGTCAACAAATTGTATTCACTACAGTACAGGCTCCCAGTTTGTGACAGGTACATAGTGTGGCGAGAATAAATAGGTACAACAACAAAAATCCACTGAAAGAGCTGTGACACACAAGACAGATAATAAGCACAAAAATTACGAACAAAATTAAAAGAAACACAAATTACCAATCTAGAAATATTCTGGATTAATGAAAGGTATTGCAATGTCCAATTGCAATGAATAAACACCATGTTTCCCAAGACTTAAATATCAATCAGTGCGCCAACGGATTTCAAAATAAAGACACAAATACGAAGTCAACGAAAAAACACATGACCTTGCACAATGCCAAATTATAAGTATCGACAAGATGCTAGACCATACGTGTTGTTAACTGGATACCATTATATATTTTCTTATATATCAAACCACGTCCATTCTTTGTTTTTGTTAGATGTATTTCTATTTGTATCCATCTGAGAAGTTCAGCCTTTTTCAACTGAATTTTATAATTTGTTTTTACAAATGTATGCCTTTTTAAACTGATTTTTATAATTCTTTCTTACAAATGTATGTTGTACTGTTACACCACTGTCCCAGGTAAGGAGAAAGGTTGGGCGTCCGCTAACATGTTTAACCCCACCTCATGTTATATGAGCCTGTCCCGAGTCAGGGGCCTTTAATTTAGTGTTTGTCGTTTGTTGCTGTGTTACAAATTTGTTTTTCGTTCATTATTTTGAGCATAAATTAGGCCGTTATTTTTCCCGTTTGAATTGTTTTACATTTGTCATTTCCAGGCCTCTAATAACTGACTATACGGTATGGGCTTTACTCTTTGTGGAAGGCAGTAAGGTGATCTAAAGCTGTTAATTTTTGTGTCATTTGGTCTCTTTTGAAGAGTTGTCTCAATGACAATCATACCACATCTCCTTTTTTATATTTCAAAACGAAGCCATATTTGTACAAATGAAGGATCTTAAGTTTGTTTCATACGTTTTTTTTATTATATTCTTTCATGCATTTTATCATGCTATTTTTCTAATCATCATAGTTGACTTGATATATTTATGTCCACGCCAATACAGTTTGTTCTTTTTCATGTCGTAGTTCAAAAGTGAATTACTACAGTTGCCATGCCACCAAGCGCCATGAATGACAGCACAGTTACCTGAATAAATATCACTATCACTATCCTTTGTACTGAATTTCCTACCGTTGCTATATTTCAATGAATCAACTGAAACGAAAATCATTGTGTAGTGGTACTTTTTTTAACACCAAATTATGTTATCTCAACATAAAGAGGGTAGGGGAGGGTTCGGTTTTGGTTCTGTATTATCAAAAGTATTGAAACCCCATCACATGTAACAAATAAGACATAACATGTCTTTCTAAAAAGTTCTTGTGTTTCCTTTGTTATACGTGTTAACGTTGTTTCTTGTTATATAATGCACACATGTCTAGATCAGGGTAATATTAGTCAAGAAAAATGCTGGACAAAGATCATTATGTTTCTCCAGTGAAAACCTACTATCCTGCAATAATTATTAGTCGTGACCTAAAAAGGTGGACGTAATATATATCAGAGACAAACATCACAAATAATTTATATTTTTTGAAGCAAGAAAATTATTTGATATATGTTTTGTCAGTTCATATTTATATTTTGTTGTTGTTAAACTTAAGGATAATTTCAGTCATTTAATTTAAACTTTTTGTGATTGAATTCACAGATATATAGGATTTGCTACTTTGCCAAGATTTATATAAATGATTATAACATTAATGAATTGACCAACATAAAGATGTAAATATAATTCAATGTTATGGTATATTCGTGTATGTTGGTAAGATTCCGATTAATAACAAAACAAACGTTGCAGGCCTGATAAAACCAAAAAGCACAAAATCTAGAAAGCAAAAAAAAAATCCATACCCAAAAGTGTAAGTTGATGAAAAGACATGTAAAAAAGTTACATAGAACTTTTTTGTTCAAGATTTATTTCTTATCGTTAATGTTTACAACCATCACATGCCACGAATTAGAGATTTTTGCAAACTTTGATAAAATTGTCCGGATTTCAACGAAATCAATGCCTAGGAAACATATATCGCAGGCGTCGACAAACTGAATATTCAAGACAAAAGGAAAATGTTATAACAAACGTTAAAAGAAAAGATTTTTTTGTCAACGCTACATTCTGTTTTCTGTCCAAAATATCAATTGAAGTTTTTCATAAAGTTTTCGTGGAATAACAAAATTAGTGTTATTTGTGACGTCATGAATTATGTGAACATGGTGAATAGGACGCTAGTACATTAATATTCTACAATTAGACATATGTCCTGTCTATCTAATGTATTATCTATAATTCATTCTGATATTGGTAATTAAATTTTATGAATATTATATATCTCCCCAAACGAGGCAGGGTTTGTGATACAGCTGTATTTACAAAGTGCAACCTATAGAGATGCTGCCCTTAAAAAAGTGGTTTTTTTTCTAGTTAACTTGTTTTGCTAATTGTCTAGAAAACACCAATATATAGATAGTAGTTACTCTAAACAGCAATTATAATCTGATAACAATAACGATTAAAAATTCCAATACGACATCAACCAATGGATGACTCCTTCGGGAGTAAAGTCCTTAAACGACGATTTTGACTGATTTGTGTGATGTTGTCTATGATCTTGAATACTATAATATTGAGAATAATAAGATCTTCCAAAATGAACTTATTTTTGTCTGTTCAGGAAAGACCAACAATAGTTTGAGGTAGAATAAAGGACCGACATTGTATTCAAGGGGACATATATAACTGATAATTAATCTACACTAGTCTTACACATCGCATTAAGACTATAAAATATATATCTCACTCCCATTTGTATATGCAAATTTATGGACTTCACTTTTTATATGGTTTACAATTGTACATATTGTAAATGTATTCTAATTACCAAAAAAATAGATTTGAAATAGCTATGACAGTATTCTCATTATTTTGTTATGGTTAATGATAATTAGAATTGACAGGGGAAAAGAACATACACAACCCCAGCAATTGTTTTTTTTTTCCGAATGAATCGCCGGGTTATTGTTATGGGCTGAAGGGTTTAGAAAATTATAAAATGCTACATACACAACATGTACAAACAGGATCAAAATAATGATGGGTTGTTTATAGAGGGTTGATAATAGAAATGTGTTACAAAATAAGCGATGTTTGCACCTAAATTAAGTCGCTTTGATATCGATCGAAAACATATAGTATTACCCGGATTTTTGTAAGTATTTGAGATAAGTCATTTATCCTCAACGACAGGTAATGGTTAACTATGAGAGTAAAAATTAATTCTACAATTATGTTCCGTGTATTTTGAGCACTTATTTTGAAAGGTTACATTATTATGTCCAGAATTTTAACAACTGTATATATATGTTTTAATGATGAATGATTTGCATAAAGGTATGTATGCGATAGGGCATTTGTACAGACATGTTATTGGCAATGGCCAATAAAAGTCAAACCTTAATGTTACAAAAAGCACATACTTTAGATCAATCGATATATGTCTATGTTGAAAATTGTGTGACAAGACAAAAAAACTCTCATTATACGAACAAGAATTTCTGCTACTCAAGACAATGTTTCAAATATACCTGGATGATTAAGAACTAATTAACACACCGTAACGTGAGTTCATGTTAAGATACTTACCTGCAGTTCCACTATAGTCCCCTATGGTAAGCTTGTATTTTGAGTTCTCGTCACTTATACTAAATGTCTTATACAAAGCATAAGTCATCTTATTGCTAGTGTCCGTTAGATCTACTCTTAGTTCGTATTTACCACTAGTCGTAAGAATGTTTAAATACTTGTTTCCTGTAATGGAAAATGATATAAGTGTGTTTTAAAAAATTATTTACTTACGGACACATTTTACACAAAGCTCTTTCCGATTTGAATTTCTAATTTAAAAAAAAACAACATTAAGCATAGTAAATGTAGTAGACAATACAAAAAAGGTTTTGGTTTTTACCTGTATGTCCTTTTTAGTAGTTCAGCTCGTTTTATACTTACCGGGATTGCTTTGCGTTTCTGGTGGAGTAGATCTAGAAAAGCGGTTCGGAAGCATCAAAAGTGTTATTTGCGTATACATTTAACAAACACCAAAATAAAAAAAAATCGAAAAGTTAAAAAAAAATTTCAAAATCTAATACTTAAATAGTCAGTCAAACAACCACAATATACACATGTCTTATAGTATTGCGTTTTAAGGCTACATAATAAGTTATGTGAGTATGCTTTACATGAAAAGATTCACAGTTGATAACTAATTCCATCAAAGTCTATCTGTCTGAAACAAAAAAAAATGTTTGCGCCTGTCCCAAATGGTGGCCTCCGGCTCTTATTTGCTCTTTGGTCGGGTTGTTGTCTCTTTGACATATTCCATATTTCCATTCTCAATTTTAGTATTTATTTCACTTTTGACGTAAATTTACTAAGGTGCCCTATAATTTTTAACTTCTACCTTAATTGGAGAGATGTCCCATTTCTAATTATAAAACATCTTTTTATTTAATATTAACTGTATAATATTAACAAATGTACTACATTAAGTAATATAGAGCATTTATTAACAAAACAATTTTAAAATAATATTTCTCGGTGGTAAGCTCGCCTTGGTTAATATATTTTGTAAGATACTGGATAAAGGAACAAAATTTACGCCATCGTAACATCATCAACAGGAAGTATTAGCAGTTTGATAGTTGACCTCTTGTATTATATGATATATATTTATACAAACTACTCAACTTGGACAGTTTGTGATGAATAGATACGCAGCCACGTTTATAGAGTATTGAATTTTGCTTTATTTGATGAGGTTTCAAGGTTTTGGATTAAATCAATAGTTCCTAATTTACCTGTATCACTGAGTTATTCTACATAAACACTACTACTATTGTTAGAACTATTGATATGGACAAAATATTAGTCAACACTATTTTATGATATCATATTGATGTATTATCATCTTAAATTAGTACCGTTGCTCAAATCTTTAAACTTTTATCAATGTTTTCTTCATCTTTGCAGTATCGCCTATTCTAGACGATCCGATAAATATTAAATTTGCTGGTTCGTACTTTTTATAGACTTTTATATGTATTTGAGTAATGCGTCCTTAGTGTATTTTAAAAGGTTTTTGCTTACTCAAAAGCTGATAATTTTTTATTCCAGTTAGAACTAAGTAATGAAATTAAATTCTTTAGATATGCATATGGGTAGTTTATATGTTGTAAAGCTTAATCAACCATTCTAGAAAAAAGTAAAAACGTCAACAGTAGAAACTCTTAATTATTCGTGATTATAAAATGAAGCAAATTATACATAGATTTCATAAAGGGTAGTTCTTGAAAAGCCCACACAAATAAACTTTTTCGATTAAAATGAATAGACTGTTTTTCATCTGAAAATACATTTTGAGGTTATTGGTGGCAGCAAAAACAACGACAATTATTATCCGACGAACAATAATTCTTTCACATTATGAAAGATACACACATTGATATGATAATGTATTATTAACTCAATTTAACTTACCTAGCCAGAATTCCTTTTGTAGATCACCAAACCCTTCCTTGTAATCAATCCAATTTCTGTCAAAGTTCGTCTTTCCGTCTATTCTTCTTTGAACTACCTGCAATCAATCGAATGAAACAAAACGTATTTCCTGAATTAAACTCAAACAGAACAGTATTGACAACATGGAATATGCAACGAAATGTTAACTATTGAAAAATTGCACTTGAAACAAAATGATTTGAGTCTCTTCTGGTATATGTAATTTTCATCATGAATAATCTTTGCACATGAGCAATTTTGTCTGCCTTGTAGCTTGAAATCTAGCACTGTGACCAGTGCCTTTTTATAATATATTTCAAAAGCATGGTAAAATCTTCATTTTAGCAAAGTATACGGAAATTCTATCTGAGGAAATATATAGCGATGATCCACCTTAAACACATGGTTTCAACATGAAGGTTGTGGCTGCCATGTCTAAATCCTTTCTAGCCTTAATGTCCTTATATGTGTTATGTTTAACCAGCCACACATATACGAAAATCTGATAACGTGTATTCCAGAAAAGACTGAAGAGATTAAACACATACTTTACAACAACAAAAAAAACATTTTCTGGGTACTCAGAAACAAGCAAACCAGAAACAAATATACGAAGACTTCAACTTAAATAGCTTCAAAACACACAATAGAACCAAACGAATATATTTCAATGAAAGAAAATCCGCAATTTCAACAAAGTTTCACTGCTATGTTGACACTAAATACCTTATAACTCAAACATTTACGTGTATTATTAATCGCTTAGGGTCCCATATACATAAGACTTAAGAAGGGAAAAGAGGAATGTGTTAAAGAAACAACGACCGACCATAGGACAGAAAAGCAACCCAAGGCCACTAATAAGTCTTCAACGCAGCGAAAAAACCAACAACAGGAAGCGGGATTCAGCTGGCCCCTAAACAATAGTGTATACTAGTTCATGATCAGCAAAATGGACAACACGATTTTTTTTCTGTTCGAAATAATATAAATGTAAAATTGAGAATGGAAATGGGGAATGTGTCAAAGAGACAACAATCCGACCATAGAACAGACAACAGCAGAAGGTCACCAACAGGTCTTCAATGCAGCGAGAAATTCCCGAACCCGGAGGCGTCCTTCAGCTGGCCCCTAAACAAATATATGTACTAGTTCAGTGATAATGAACGCCATACTAAACTCCAAATTGTACACAAGAAACTAAAATTAAAAATAATACAAGACTAACAAAGGCTAGAGGCTCCTGACTTGGGACAGGCGCAAAAATGCGGCGGTGTTAAACATGTTTATGAGATCTCAACCCTCCCCCTATACCTCTAGCCAATGTAGAAAAGTAAACGCATAACAATACGCACATTAAAATTCAGTTCAAGAGAAGTCCGAGTCTGATGTCAGAAGATGTAACCAAAGAAAATAAACAAAATGACAATAATACATAAATAACAACAGACTACTAGCAGTTAACTGACATGCCAGCTCCAGACTTCAATTAAACTGATTGAAAGATTATGTCTTCATCATATGAATATCAGGCACAATCCTTCCCGTTAGGGGTTTAGTATCATACCATCATAACATATATGAGAAGAACATAACCCGTGTCATGCCAACAACTGGTTTAAGAATAAATGTGTTTAGTGCCGATGCAAAAACCCTATAAGTGAATCAATATTAACGCCAAAATATGCAATCTTTAATGACCTGACAACAGTATCGTGACTATATCCCTTCTTAATAAGTCTATTTAAAGGTTTTGTTAGCTTCAGAGGTGAATACCGACATTTTTGTGCTTTATAAAGAATATTTCCATAAAAAATTGGATGTGAAATACCTGAACGTATAAGAAGTCTGCATGTTGAGCTATATTTACGAATGATGTCCTTATACCGATGATAAAATTTAGTAAATGTTTTGACTAGTTTGTGATATCGAAAACCCTGGTGTAATAATTTTTCAGTAATACATAAATTTCTCTCGTTAAAATCTAAAACATTGTTACATACACGAGCGAATCGTACAAGTTGAGATATATAAACACCGTAAGATGGTGACAAGGGAACGTCACCATCTAAAAATGGATAATTAACGATAGGAAATGAAAAATCATCTCTTTTATCATATATTTTAGTATTAAGCTTTCCATTAATGATATAGATATCAAGATCGAGGAAAGGGCAGTGGTCATTGTTAGTATTAGCTTTATTTAAAGTAAGTTCAACAGGATAAATTTCTTTAGTATACATACTGAAGTCGTCATTATTGAGAGCCAAAAATATCATCCAAATATCTAAAAGTATTATTAAATTTGTGTATCAGATGTTGTTTCGATGGGTCTTTGCTGATTTTTGTCATAAATTGTAACTCATAACAATGTATTGCTCACCATCCAATAAAACATTAAAAAAAGAAATGCAGTAACAAGTTATATATTGCTGCATAATGTATGTTCAAATGATGAAATAAATACTTACGGTCCATCCACCACCGTCAGTCGACATATCACAGTAGGCCTTGATTTCTTTAGATTTTTCAGGATGAATGGTATACACTCCACTTGTTTTTCTTCTCCCCCTCATTTCACTGCAGTCTTTAATTTTTCGGAGAGTACATGTACCTAAAGATAATATTTTGTGAATTATTTTACAGAATATAAGTATATTTTTTTTATTTGTCTTAAACCCAAGGATTGGCTTATGTAAGCAGTATGGTATATGTAAAATATATAATTATATGGATGTCAAACCATTTGCTATAATGTAATATTAACTGATTCCTCGCAAATTATGAACATGGAAATTGTCGAAAACAGGATAATTGAATAATGACTCGCCCAAGGAAACAAGAAATAACAAAATTAATCCATATTCAAGGCGTATCAATTAGTACTATATTTTTTACAACATTCAATTAAAAGAAGAGGAAGAATATAAAATGTTCATACATTTACAGATTCCAAAACATATGTTTCCTTTTAGTCATATGTAAAAACGTATGGAAATGTATAGTTTAATAATTCATTAGAAATACATCTACTTACGTGTTATATCCTTTTTTATTAGATCAGTAATCCTGGAAATCCCACTATATCCTTTCGATTCTATAGAAAATTAGCAAGTGATGTGGAGTATTTTGATGAACTTTATTAATATCATTATCATTTTTATTATATTCGATGTTTTTGTGCATGTGCATCTTGTCTATTACAAAAAATAAACCTTAAGCGACTTTATCATATAGCAAATATTCATTGCAAAAGCTTCCACTAAGATAGAAATCACGAATACGAAGATATGTACCTTCAATATGAAATTATAGAACACAATGGTGTTGCCGGTTTAATTATATGTGATGACCTGATATGATTTTGAAATTGCATATTAAGTTTCGTTAGGGAACAACCGTGTTGTCTGAAGAGGTATATTGATTATACATTCTTAGGATTCTCTTGATTAGTTTAGACAAATTGATAAGAGATGGACAAAATAATGAAATGTTTACTGAATCAGATGCAAAATCATTACACAGTTTTGATAAAATAGCGCACTGTTTTGTAATATTTCGCAATTAAAGCATAGGAAAATTACACAAAAAATCAAAGACCTCAATAAAGTTTTCATAATAAACTAACCTTCAATAATCCACTTTATTTCATTTTTCAATATTTTTAGCTTTTTCACCACTTCCTTATAAGTTCCAATATCTACAAACATGTCATTATCTGAATTTAAAACTCATGGGAGATCACTTTCAGTGTTATTTATAGATTGACCGCGTAATACGTAAAACGTTACTTTTTTATCTGCTCTTATGTTGTTCTGTTACAAAACTGTCCCAACTAAGGGAGAATGTTGGTCACCAGTGAGCATGATTAACACGACAACAGTTTGTAAGAAGTCATGAACCTTTAAAATTCAGTGTTTGTCGTTTGAATTGTTTTACATTTGTTATTGCAGGGAATTTATTAGCTTTCTACGCGTTGTGAGTTTATCTTAATATTTAAGTCCATCTGGTAAACTATAGTTGCTAACATAGGTCATTTGGTTTCTAGGTAGAGACTTGTCTCTTTAGCAATTCCTGACAAATATGAATATTTATTACATCTTTTAATTTTAAATCCCTGCATATATTTGTTTTAACCTGTTCGATAAAAATATGAATTTAAAAATTGTATAAGGTGTACGTTTTACATGCTTAGTCTAATAGAACTGAAATTGTAAGATATCCATATTTTTACTTCACAAGGTGTCTCTCGGTGTTCAATTAAATATCCATGACAGCTCTTTAACTTCGTACTCTATTTCCCTTTCTTACCTTTTTGATTCGAGCGTCAATGATAAGTCTTGTTTAGACGAAACGCGCGTCTGGTTTTTTAACTACCTATAGTCTTGTTTATTTGGACAGATACATGTGTGTAAGAAATATTACCTTACTGTTGTATCAATATTATTAAAGCAATACCGTATAGAATTGGGAAAAGAAACGGGGGATGTGTTAAAGGGACATAAAAACGACCAAAGAGCAAAAAACAGTCTTAGACCATTAATGATTCTTAATCGCAGCCAGAAAATCCTGCAGCTGGAGGCAGGCTTCAAACCGTATTGATAGTAAAGCTTTACAGCCGATTACAATGAGTGTGTAGGAAAAGGTAATATCTTTTGGTTAGCTTGCTTTCTAGCTGAACCGTGAAGTCATTATTACGTTAGGTAAACTACCTTCCTTTGTGAGTAGACTAGTCCGACAGACACATAGAATTGGTTACGTGTGGGACTAGTCTACTCATAAAGGTGGGTAGTTTGCCTAACCTACTATGACTTCACGGTTCAGCTAGCAAGCAAGCTAACCAATTTGAAAGATATTAAGTATAATGAAACTTCTCGGTATATATTCGAGTGGTAATTTTGACCATTTTCTACATTTGAAAATGCCTGTACCAAGTCAGGAATATGACAATTGTTGTCTATTCGTTTGATGTGTTTTGTCTTTGATTTTGCCATGTGATTAGGGACTTTCCGATTGAATTTTCCTCGGAGTTCAGTATTTTTGTGATTTACTTTTTATTGATTACACAGGTACGTCTAATATCAATACGGAATTCACTAATACATATAAGACAAGTTTGTATTGCTTTGAATCTTGTATTTCTCTATTGGTTTAGATTTACAATGTACTTACTACTAAGAATATCATTTGTATCTTTCAGCAATTGTTCAACACTTTGATCGGGTCTTTCATATACGCAGACATCTGTAATATAAAAATCTCATTAAACTTCCCAACTGATCAAATTTATTAAAACATTCACCTAGTTATCACCACAGCTGTTATTTTTTTTTTTCTATATTAAATGTATATTAGCTGCCCTGCAGATTTATGTTTCAAAGTTGGGTTTATGTCAGTAAATTGATATATACTAATGATGCCTCCTATTTGCAACAAATAAACGAAACTTTTGAATACGCATAGGGACTACAAGGAACCAGGATAACACAAGGCAAACAAAACTTAGTAATAAACGAAATGTAACCAATAGACAAAAAAAACTACAAAAACTTTAGATCCATCCATAATCAATTAAACAAACAACAGACTAATGACCAACATAAATAGAGGATGAAAAAAGACTTTCCGGAATAGATGCAAGTGCCTTACCTTGGCGACATTTGTTAGTGTTAACTGTAATTATTATTACAAAGATCGAAAAATGCAGAACCATCTGAATTGTTTTACATTTGTAATTTCGGGACATCTTATAGCTGACTATGCGGTATGGGCTTTACTCATTGTTGAAAACCCTACGGTGACTTATAGTTTTTTATTTCTGTGTCATTTTGGTCTCTTGTGGAGAGTTGTCTCATTGGCAATCCTACCACATCTTCTTTTTAATGAAAGCTTTATCTTTAATGGAAAAATATATGATTTATTTACACATACAGCACGACGAAGAAAATGTCTCCCATTTTAACTTTAACGGTACTAATTTAACTGTACCATATACATGTTTGACAATTAATGTACGATCAGTAATGCTCGCGGACAAAATATTTGAAAATCCAACATCTACATGTACCATGTTAAACTGTAAATCAATTTCCCCCACCTATTTGCAATTTATTCTTATTTGATTCGCATAAGCTTATGTTTTTTTTTTTTTGTAAATACTTATCGAACCAAAGTTAGGTTACCTTGTAGAGTATGTATTATTTTGTTTATTCTTTTGTCTTCCTCGTCCAATTCACGTTCATTTCTTCTATCTACAATGCAATACATCATATTTTTCTTCAATAATTATATAACTGATATTGAAATCCATTACTTGTTTCAAGGTTTTCTGTGCGCTTGTAGATTTAAACGATGAAACATTTTTATTAAATTGTAGTTTGAAAATATTACAAAATTCTGAGCGAATAACACATCATCTTAGAAAGTTACTTAATATCTAATAGTATTTTAATGAGAAACAAAATATTCCAACGGTTGTATTCATATAAGACATGGGGCACTTAAAGTCACTTTTATTTCATATTCTTATTGAATGGTTTGAAATGTTACCAATTAATGCCTTGTGAAATGATATTTTAAAAGAAAAGATGTCATTTAGATTGAGGGAAATTAATGCCACAATTGATTCATTTATGGATACATTGTGTCAGTAAAGTTAAACTCTTTACGCTTAGACATGACTCCGGGGGTTAAGTAATAGTTTCATTTGCCGGTAAACGTTAATGAAACTTGATTTAGCCTTGAACTCACATTGATTGCTAAGCCACTCATCATTTCTTACATTTCAATAATACAGAATTTGATAATTACCTTCGGCAGGTTAAAGCATGAACGGTCAATGTGATCAAATCAAATTAGATTTACTTCATTTCATTTTCTACCTTGAAATCGTCTGGACAATACTGATATTTTGAAAAAAAAACAGCAAGTTATGGGCAAAACAAAGTTCATGGTTTAAAAATAAATTGAAACCTTTAGAAATCATTTTTAATAAAAAAGGCAAAAACTTTCTTAGTTCCGTGCCTACCTCCTATATCTACCTGCTAGTTACTTCATATTATTTTTGCATCATGAACAAAGATTACTGCAACATCACACTACGTAATGAACAATTTGCAGAATAAAAGTTTGAATAACAACGTAGTACATTTTCCGAGTTCATGCTTACCCTGTATGTCTACACCGCCTGTGCTTTTTGTTATACAAATTACAGCAAAAACTGTGAACACGAACATACTGACTGATGGAATAATGTTATTCTGTGTAATAACACCTTAAATATGTAGGTAATATAATATGTATAGTTTTCATCGGTTGCGTGCCTCCATATGTCAATACCACGGCTGTTACTTTGCAACTTTTACAAAATTACAAGTTCTCTTTGCCTTATGTTTAGTCAAGTTGTTTTTTTAGAAAGAATCGTCTTTAAGTATGCTTTATGTATGCTTCTTCTTATCCATATAATTTTCAATTCTTAAACATTAATTCTTAGGTTCAGTATTACATCAATGTACATGTGATTTGGAAGAATATTGCATATGAATTTTGATTGACTTTGTCTTCTTAATTTTGAAAAATGATTGAGAAGATTATTTAGTTCTATGGCTGTGAGTCATAAAAATCATGTTCTGTGAGTAAAGAGCCATGAAACGCATGTAAGGTGAAAGGTTGCCAATCAACGTCACGATCCATTTAACACATGTTCATTTGCTTACTATTATACCGCAGACCTTCTTAAATTCAAACTGACCACACACACGATACACGCACGGACGATACACGCACGGTGAATTCACGATGAATGCACGATCCCCTGTCCACGTACGATGAACGATGAGTGTTATACGGAGGATTAACGAAAAATGAATGATGAATGATGAACCCACGATACACGCACGGTGAACGATGAGTGTTACACGGAGGATTAACGAAAAATGAATGATGAATTATGAACCCACGATACACGCACGGTGAATGATGAATGATGAACGCACGATTCACGCACGGTGAATGATTCATTGACGAATGAACGATAAGCACTTAACACACGATTCGTAAAGCCATTTTATTTAGAATGGCATTTAAAATTGATATATGATAATTAAAATGTATAAGGGTATACAAATTTTATATATCGCGCTTTCAGTGTTGATTGGTTGGCAACTTTTTAAAAATTCCCATTATAAAACTTAGGACTTTTTTAGCATTTTTGACGGGATAATGACCTTTTGAGAATTTCCTGGCCCATAGAAAATACCCGAAAGAGACAAAAAAAGCCCTTTTAGATAAACAAAACGTCTAAGATGGCCATTTCATTTAATAAGATTTCAGAATGTGGTGTATATTTAATAATTTGGACATCTTTGTCCCTGGATCTGAACAAGGATTTGTATAATCTAAATTATATCTTGTCATGTCATTGTGTATTATTACTTATCAAATATGATTGCATGCTACATAATGTCATTTCCGTATTTGATCAAATAAAAAAAAATAAAAAAATCAATAACTATTGATTTTTTAATATATTGGTATCATTACTAAATGAATTTGATAAGTTTACACGTGCCGATGTTGTCGAGACGGTAAGTCTTTAAATATCAACGAATACGTGTTATCTCTGCGGTCAAGCGTAACCGGGAGTTTAAGACATGCGTTTTTAATTGGAAAGATAAAACCGATCCCGACGGTCCCTAAAAAATTGCATATCACTTAAACTGAACTATATAGAACAATGACAAATTCAATATCAAAAATGTCTGCGGACGAATTTTCGAGAATCAAAATTTTAAGTGTAAAATAATTAGTCGTTTTATTTCTATTACATGTAGTCTTTTTTTCTTTTGATAATAAACATTCAATTGGTTGTCATTCTCTTTATCTCTCTATGATGTTTTTGCAGACAAAAACAATTCGCAGAATTAATCTAAATAGTCAGACATTAAACTCTATTTCATAAAACTTTTAACATTAACACCTAATTGCATGAAACTGAATAAGCATGTTATTATTCTCATCACTTTTTCGGATGACCTTAATAATGTTAACCTATAAAATGATTTTTGACAGAATTTTATATATTGTAGAATTCGTTCTTCTTATAGACACATTAATTGCTAACGTAAAATATTATTTTTCGCGACGTTAAACTGTGAAATATCGGGAAAAGATGCATTTTTTCGATTGATTTAACCATAAGCTTAAAAATGAGCACATGGACACCTATTTTATTAGATTAATCGTTCCAATTTTTATGAAGAAATCACCGATTTTTTTTAAACTAGATAAATATACAACAAATATGACGTTTTTTTTTCTTCCTTAAATCAATTTCTTTTAACAAAAATGAATTATTAAACAAATGTAGGGCCTAATTTTGTAAGGAAGATATACCTAATCTCTTTACCGAAATCCGCATAGGTTTATCATTTGAAACAAAAAGTTCAGATATGTCCAAGAAACCGAAATTTTAAGTAAATGTCGAAATATTCAAACCCATTTATCTTTTCAATTTAGCACACGAAGATATATTTTTTATTACATATTCAAATTGATTTTTGTAAAAAATAGCTTGTATGCAAACTTTCTTAAAAAAAATCACTGTGGGTTTAAAACTGTATCGTATGCCCATAATTGCCCTAAAGCTAAATCTCATCTTCAGACTATGAGGTTCTGGATGTGAAATCATTATTTCTGTATTCTATTATTTTTAGTTCATTTTTTCTATTCGTTATACTTTTTGCCCATCATTTTTTATTTTTTATATTCTAGTACCTCATCATTCTCATTTCTCTTATATTTGTTTAGTTATTTTCTCTTTTCTTTATTTTTTTGTCAATTATTTTCTTTTCTGTAAACCCCGATCCACACCCTCGTGTAGAATGAAAGACGATAAACATTTTAGTATACACACCACCTGTTGTTATTTCTCACCTGGACACATGACTTTTAGTAATAGTAACAAATATAAAATTATCGATATTGTAAATTCAGTTGAATATAATCTGTATCAATGCACTGGCTTGTTAAATGTATTTTGATCTGACAACAAGAATACATTTGTTTATCATATTTTTAGTTTTTTTAGTTATATTTGGTCATGATTTAGTCTCGAACAAGGCAAAAACCATCGTATTTTCAAACAATCTCTAAAACGTGCTGAATTTATAGCCTATATCAAGAGATAGGTTTTACCCAGAGTTTTAACTAGCTGTAGGCGTTTTGAAAAATATCCATTTAGGAACCAAATTGTGGCTTTTTTATATTTATATCAAAATTGAAATCAAAGGCCGTATTTTGTCGAAGAGAACAAGGTTAACAATTACCTACAATGCGACATGCGAGAAGAGGTTTCGTTTTCCCTAAAAAAAATAATTTGTTGAAGTAACTTATTTTTTGAGGTTGCGTCACGGAAATATATTTCAAATGAAAGGTGCAACTGCATGCATTTCTAAACATAAATAAAAAAAACAACTATAAAATGGCGGGTATGCGTCAATCAGACAGCAATCCAATATAAACACAAGTAGGTTACCTGTCATCTAGAATAAGAGGTTTAAGCATAACCCGCGCTGGTATCAACTTTCTGAGTTCTGAGTAAAATTCTATATACAAGTAGGACTCTGAAACGAGAAATATACGAAATTTTTTTTTACGTACGATGGAGCGTGGCATTCCCTTAATACATACGGGTCCACAGACTCTTCTCATTATGGTATAACGGTAAATGAGGATCTCATGAGAGGAACAAAGTGAAGATACATTTAACGCAGAATAATTTCCACATGCAGAAAACCAAAGAGGACGATCTCTCAATTAGAATGCAACTGTAACTAATACATGTAATACATCCATAGACAATAACACTAGTAAATGCCAATTTATATACTGACTTTGAAAAAAATATACTTCTCATAATAATTGCACATAATTGCATTTAGCTATTACGCGTCATATAGATCATTGCACACCATCTAACGGCTCACCGCACTTCGGCGCAGACCATCGCACTTCAGCGTGACCATCAAACTTCATGGTCTCCATTGCACCTCCCAGTCATACATATATGTATATACTTCTTTTTACTTGATTTCAATAATTGCAAACACTTTAATACCGATTTTCTGATAATGGTTTTTATTGTACTAAAGTAATAATTTGAATTCCCGCGGGTATTGCCCGAGGGAAATACGATTTATTTAAGGGTTTAAAAATCTCATAGCTGAAATATTTTGTTTAATTTAATTAATTTTTTTTTAAGAAACTTAGGTTTCAGCTACCACAGACTAACTTGGCCTTTGATGGATTTAGCTCTTATGTAAAAATAAGAAGATGTGGTGTAATTGCTAGTGAGACAACTATTCAAGAAAGTTCAAATCAAGAGGATGATAGCAGTTATATTTTTAGGCCGTACGACCTTAAATAATGAAAAAATACGGAAACCGTAAAGTCGGTTATAAAAGGCCCCGCCCGACATGAAAAATATGAAACAATTCAATTGAGAAAATTAGCGGCCTTATCTATAACAAAGCAATTTTGCCAAACAAAAGCCCAAAGATAACAGAATGGAAGTTACGACAACCAATGAACTACGTGCTTTTGACTTTGGACAGACACATATATATATAAAGAATGTTGCGAATGTGTAGGTCCTTTATTGGTCATATAGCTCTTCACTCCTATCTTTTTATACATGCTTTGGCTTTCAAATATTTAGCTTTGAGCCTTCCTAGTGAAGGTAAATCCAGAAAAGCGTTACGGATGCATGAAATTTAGAAAGTGTTGTTTTGTGAAGTGATCAAGACGTAGGGATGTGAATGAGTGTTTTATGTGTGCAATAATTTCGGCCTCCCAAATGTAGTGTAAATCTGCAGTTGTTTCATGTATTCGATATGCAAATTATCACAAAACTCAAAGGATAAGATGGATGAATTAATAGTTGATCGTTTAACGTCCAGTGGCATCTATTATAGATTCATTATTAGGGGGAGAACAAAAATTATGATATAATTATGAACATTGGCAATCATACCACATCTTTTATATAAGGACGTAAATGTGCAGATTTTCGTCTTTTACTGTAAACGACAGTGTCCCCTGGCGTCAAAACTGAAATTAGACTTGTGTAAATTTCTGAAACATGCATTTCATTATTTAACCAATGTAAAGTATTCCGAATTCACTCCACATTTCTGAACTTATTCTCATTATGAAATCAAGAAGAAAGAATCATTAAATGCTCATGCAAAACAAATAA